TGTGTGTGTGTGTGTGTGTGTGTGTGTGTGTGTGTGTGGTGGTGCTCCTCAGGGCGGTGTGAGTCAGCGGTCCTCACAGCTCCACCTCTTTTGGCGCAGCAGGACATAAAAATGGCGGTGCTTGTGCAGCCGGGGTTAATGGCTGATTGGTTGATGAATGATTGAGCTCATTCCTTAGAGAGTCCTGTGATAAATGAGTGGGTACAGTTCCACCTGTGTGAGGCCACAGGCAACACAAATTCTATGTGTTTTTAAACGCTGAAGCTAAAACAAGTTCACAGTCTTTAAAATCCTCCAAACATTTGGAATGTCATGCTTCATAATAAGCATCCATCAATCAATCAGCAGAGATCTGGGAAGAGCTCCACCACCTCAGGAGGCTCTCTGTAAGATGCAGCTCCTGGGAAGTCCAGGCTGGCCCAGGCTGGAAACATCTGAGCAGTGATAGGAAGTGGTTGTGAATAGGAAACCTCTCTAGCACAGGACCTCCAGTGCCAGGCATGGCATGGCTAATTCCATCTAAATGGAAGCACTATCCATGTACATCCACCTTTGCTGGAACAAAACAGTTAAGACATGTGCACAAACTAGAAGTAAACAGCAAGATGCCATGACACTAAAACACAGACAGGAGAAGGGAAAACACTGTTAATGAATACGTGTCCTTCTAGTGGCAGTGCGCTGCCAGCATCCCCGCTGATATCCCTACAGGCCTGGTGGCATCAGCCTCATTTTGGACAGCTAAGTAACTGATATCTAGACCTTCAGAGAGTGCTTTATCTATGGACACATGTGCCCTCACATAGATGAAGGCCTTCCTGTGTCTTTGAGAGATCTTCTTCTTTCAAAGAACCTAATGCAATCTACGTCTTACTTTTGCTTCATTCGTCACTGCAGCTAGAAAGAAATCCTGCAAATACACCAAAAACGTTCAGAACGAGTATTCAGGAAAACATGGAAGTGTCCTCTGTCCATCTGTTCAGCATCCCCAGCTAAAATTCCTAAAAAGAAGACACCTGAAAGCTTATCTCAACCGTCTCTTTTCTTGTTCTTGTAGAGTCTGGTTGCTCCTTGCTAAATGGTTTCCACTCCAGGTTTTCTTTCCCTCCTCCAGAGTCCTGCCCATGTCTTTCTCTGCTTTCCTGAAGGACTCTGGTCTAAAAAAGGGCCCCCCAGCTGCCAGCAGCAGCCCCTGGCTCTGCTGGCCTGCTCGGGCCAGGGGGGCCGGGGCCTGTGGAAACTGCTTAGAATCCAGCACATCTTTGTACTGGATCTCAGGCCTGATCATCCTCAGACAGGACATCCTGGTGGCATTGTCCAGCCCTGGCTGGAGCTCGTAGCCCAGAATCTTCACTAGTCCGCTCTGGAAGGGCCGGATGTTTTTGTCTCGGATGCGTTGTGCCTCCACGGGCTTCCCCCCGTCCCTCAGACAGACCCGGGCTAGATCCTCTCTGCGCAGCCTGAGGAGAGTTACTTCTTGCTCCATCTGGGAACGCCCAAACTTGTCGACTTCCTCCCAGAATGTCTGGTTGAAGGCTTTGTATAGGAACCAGTCTAAGGCGTTCCACTGGCGCAGCTTCTGCCGCTGGTCCTCGGTCAGGGACAGGTTGGGGGGGGGTTTGCCATGCGAGCGCCCGCCTCCAGCCCCAACTCCAGCTGCAGCAGCCGCCTTGCCCATCCAGCCCCCCCGCAGTCCGGCCATGCCGCTGGGCCTCTGCTGCCGGGCGTTAAGGCTAAACGAGACTACGGCGTCCAGGGGCCAGCAGAGGGCGTGTCTCAGCAGGATCATGGACTGGTCGAAGTACTCGGACACCAGAATCAGCTTGAAGGTCTGGCGGATTAGGTCCTCGCCTTGTTTAGCCAGTGCCACCGAGAAATTAGCATTGTGGTCCATGCCAAAGTCAAACCACAGCAGGTTTCGGGCGTAGTGGTTGTTGCGTGCACGAGGGTCGTAATATTTCTTGGGGTCGTCAGCAAAGTCGCCCAACGCTTTGGCTTTCCGGAAGGCAGGAGCTACTTCTTTATAGTAGGCAAAGGAAGACTCAGCCAGAACAACTGGATCCCTGATTATGGAGAAGTAGAAGGTGTCTGCAGGCATCACTTTCTCCACCTGAGGAAAAAAAAAATTGTTACAAACATGCAATTTAGCTGTATGCGTTGCATTTTCTTTTTTATCGAGCAACAGCTCACCAAATATTGAAGAAAACATCTTTCTATGCATAGAATATGCATAGTATACATGACGCGCATGGGGAGGCCCAGCAGTCAGCCTCTATATGTGAAGGCATCAAACTGTGTCTCCAGGTCAGGTTGAAGTTAGTACAGCCAGTGGAGCCCTTACCAGCAGAACTGTAAAAATGAGCCTGTGTCCCATACAGAGAGCTTATCTGGGTTGGTAATGAATCACTCTGCCAAATGCCTTACAATCTTGCCTCATGGCTCTGTCCCCCTATAAGGCCATGAAAGGGAAACATGGGGAACTAGTGTCCTGTAGAAAAACACCCAGAGCAGGCCACCGGGCTGTGAGAAAGGTTTGGTCTCAGCCCACTCCTCCTATGTGGAACCCAAAGTATTATCCACCATAAATTCCATTCCATTCCACACACATGAAAACAGATCTCTTTAATCTCAGGTCATTCTCCAGCCACCGGACTGATGCCCGCATTTAAATGGCTGCTCATTTGGACTCTCTTTCTTAAAGCTTCTACTCAGTGCAGAAAATAGAGTGACTCTTGGAGTAGTAGACTGTTAACAAAGCTAAAAACATTACTCATTACTCAAAACTATGTAATAAGTGGCCTTTGGTTATTTCCCCCGTACTTTGACTGGGTCTGTCTCAGGCCCACAGCACATATCTGGGCTGAGGGGGCGGGGGGGGTTCTGATTCTTCCTGCAGCTTTCCCAGCACCACACAACACTCCTCAGGGCGCCCCGCACACTAGCCGTCCCTCAGCTGTAGGAGAGGGCAAAGGCAAGGACATGCTGCCTGATCTGAGGGGAGACTTCTGCCCCAGCAGAGCTACGTCTATGGCTGGTCCTGATGGCCACTCTGGTGGTCAGTTAGGACTGTGTCCTTCATTTCTCACTCTCTGTGGATCATCAACTAGCACTGAAGGTATTCTACTATCATAATTTCCCTCTGGGATTATTAAAGGATTTCTGATTGTAGTGGATTCTGCCCTCACAGCCTTTCCTCAGTCTTTGGGTTTCCTGTGTGCCTAAAGTCCTGTGGGCTGAGTGCTGACAGAGCTCTGTCCTGCAGCTCCTGGCCCCTCTAGCTCTGTGTGGCAGATGTTTATTCAGAATGCAGCATTGTGTGGCCGCCCACAGCTGGAGCCCATATCTTACATGGCTTATGACAGAAAGCCCTCTGTATGGCTCTCTCATGTCTGGAGAGGTCCGGGGCTACAAGACACCTTGGTTTTTCTACTGTCACCAACAAATGTTGCTGTCCAGCTCAGGAGGAAAAAACCGGGACCAAATATTTAGAGGAGCGCACACAACTCCTGCTCCACTCTGATTGGCTTAGAGCAAAGGCCGAGGCTACGACGTGACAACAGAAGAGATAGAGGAGACGCAGAATGATTTACAGGCCAAACGTTCAGACAGAGAAAGAAACGCATGGGAAAATAGAATTACTTAGATAAAAGACACACGTGTGAATGTGCTGAACATTCACTCCCCCGTTCAAATATTCCATCCTTCTTTCTGAGATACAGCCTGAGTTTGAAACAGGCTTCTGCCCTTAATGACACCCCACTATGTATGAGAGTCCTGTGGTAGAAGGGCCAGCTCAGCAGGGGCCGATATAAGGCTTTTTTAGTTATTTTCTATGAACCTTTGTCTACTCCAAAGAAAGCAGATGTTTAGTTTCCAAACAGCACAGAAATACAGTTTCAGACCTCTTTTATAACCATGCTCCTCTCCTCGTGGGAAGAACTGACCTCTGGCTTATTAAACCTCATGTGGTTGCCCATGATGTGGAACTCTATGGCTCTGGGCCCCCGGTAGCCTTTGACCCGGTGGGCGTTGAAGGGCAGCGGGTAGCCCAGCTGGTAGCCCAGCGGCAGGGCGAAGCGCAGGCCGTGCTCCTCCCCGAAGCGGTACAGCATGTTCAGCACCGTGCTGCTGGCTGTCTTGTGGGTCTTGAGGAACATGATGTGAGAGTGAGGCTGACAGGATCCCAGAGAGGGCCCAAGAGCATCACGGGATGAGAAGATGGAGGTGGCAGCCGGCTGGACACTGCTAGAGGACAATCGGAGAGAAAAACAGCACTATTTTAGCCCAGGAGGACATCAGACAAACAGGCGTGAACCCAAAGCCACTGCAGTGTTCTGCAGACCTCCGACCGGCCACGGCTGCTACCAGCCTGCACCCTCAATCAATCACTTCACTTTATTTTGGTAACAAAAGAAAAAAAGAAAAGAACAATAGACAAACCCACAGTTTACCTAGAAAGAAATAGGCCAAAGCAAAGCTTATTTTTGCCTACCCTATTTTTTACCTTACAACCTACCAGGATTTCTTCAAATTCAGATTCAAGTACATAGTACATATATAGATCTACATAACAGCGTAAGATTTTATCATTTTACATTTTAAAGCTCTTTTAAAGTTCACCAAGAAAGGACATAACTTAAATTCAGCATTCAATTCCTGTGGAAGACGCCCACTGCTGCCACGAACACATTTCTCATGCAGTATGACATTCTGGGATTGTTTTCACTAGCCGTGAAGAGGTCAGCCAATAATCATGAAAAGCTCGAGACAAATCTCAGCTCTCAAAACACTTTTGGTTTCACATTTTGTAATTGCAACTAATTGGACTGTTTGGCGTGAATTGGCTTGAATTGGACTGTGTTTGGCATGAATTGGACTGTGTTTGTGAAGTGCCTGGACATTAGGTTTCTTGGGGCCCGCCGCCATATAATCAACTTGAGTTTAACCATCATCACTATCTTAAAGAGGCACGCAGAGTCCTACTCCTGGAAAAACCCAAAAGGTCTGACTGAGTTTCCAAAAGCCTGTCCTGAAACATAAGATCCTCCAGAAGCTCTAGGGGCAGCCTTTGTGGCTCTCTGATTGGAGGCTGGGCCCTGCATTGTTAAGGAAACAGGTGCAGCCACAACGGCCCTGTTTGTCAGCGTCAGCCTAATCTGCATAATCCTGTTAACTGTCACCGCCAACCCAGAACGGCCAGAATCCAGCCTGGGTCTTCATCAAATCATTTACAACTGTGTGTTTATAGACCAGTGTTCCCTGTAAGTAGCACTTTTGCTGTAAAAAGTGAACCAACAGGAAAAGCCTTCACATGTTTTTCTACCCTTTCTACCATTAGAAGTTCCATCCCTTGAGCCACAGTCCAGGAAGAGGAATAATATGCTATCAAAACAATGGGTTTTCAGATCATCTCTTTACAGGTGGCATCACAGACTTGTGTTTCTCTCTCAGAAGGTATCCCAGGCCTGGTGTCATGGTGCTGGTTGGCTCCCCTTTCCTGATCTCTCTTGCCTGTCTACCTGAATGTGCAGGGGAATAGAGTCCAACCCACTGGCTTCCAGGGCTAAGCAGCATTTCCATAAACTGGTATTCCACAAATGCCATCAGAATGAATAGAACTGATATATATCACCATGGTGATATATGCTTAGGATTCCCTCAGTTATCACTGAAGAGCTCTGCTCACTGATTTTTTCTGATCCAAAATCAGCCTTTCTAGCAGAACTTGACTGAACAGTTCACCATAGAGGCTGTGCATCATAAGAACTAGACTCCTGGTTGATGAATCAGGAGTCCTGCATTCAGGCTGGAAACCACTGAAACACATCATTTATGGTTATTCTGTGTTCACAACGTAAAATTACACAAATTGTCCTCCATTTCCTACTTGTGATGTCCACATTAACATCACCTCTATATACTTTGATGGTGAGTTTGTGAAAAGCACCATACCGGGTTCCTGCTCACTCTGAGGCAGGAGTGGATGCTGAATTCAGACTTTAGGATCAAATGCTGTAGGAGTAGACAGCTGAATCACATCGCAGCCCCTTTGTCAACAAATCATGACAAATGTATTTCAAAGCACTTTGAATATAAAGCTATTGAATGCATCTGTGCAAACTCACAAAAACTTCAAAGACTGAACTTTATCTGGACACAGGACCATGTCCAGCTCCTCTGCTTGAGGGCCTGACCTTCTGCCCGGGTGGACATTAACACCTGATGGGAGCATTTGCCCCAGCAGCACATGGTAAACGGAGAAATCCCCTTTTCACTGAGCTCTTTAAAACAGGTCATGTGGCGGCTTGAGCTAAAGCCACACCCTAAGGTCTGAGGTTAGGGTTAGGGAACCAGAACTGGACAGCTGGACAGGGATTTGAACGTGAACGGGCCTTTCGGTCACTGTGTGGTGTTTTTCCTGATCACACCAGCGTGTGGGCCACGTGGCCACCACTGCTGGACTTTCTGTGGGTCTAAAGTGGTCCAGGTTGCATACTGGACTCAGCCATCACATGATCAATGTTGTCCTTTTGTCTGACTGTTGGAGGAGACAACGGTGTTTCCTGTTTGTGCTGCGTGGGTCAGATCTGTCCCACAATCCCACCTATCGCTGATAAGTATCCTCCACAAACAGGGAGGTTCAAACAGAGAGGCCTCCTCTCTGCAGTTGGGAAGGTTTTCCTGAAGAGAGGTCAGCCATGAGGCAAAGCGTGCAGTTGACTGCTTCACATCTTGGATCCCGCTGTGGATGGATGACCACCGTGGCTCTCAGCCATCACACAGCCATCACACAGCCATCACACAGCCATCACACAGCCATCACACAACCATCACACAACCATCACACAACCATCACACAGCCATCACACAACCATCACACAACCATCACACAACCATCACACAGCCAGAGTTTTCTATGTGCTGCAGCAGGGCTGCTGCATTGGCACAGCTTTTGACCAATAAGGTGTTCTTCAAGTATGCGAACACGAACATCATTTAAGACATGTTCCAAATAACTGTTAAATAGTCATGGATTGTGAATCTTCAGTGGGGGAGATTTTAAAAAAGCGTGTCTAATGTTGTTAGGTTCGGGTCAGTGGCAAAAGGCCACTGTGTGGTAAACAACACGGAACCTCGATGGAGTCCGATGTGAGCGCTTGTCACATCCATTTAAGCTGAGACCTTTTGGGATCGTTGACTAGGATATTCTTTTGCTAACAGCACCAGGACAGTTTACTACGGCACACAGCAACACCATTGATAGCTGACCGATAAGATGATTGGGCTTGAATTCCAACTGAGGTCAAACACATTAGATTGAAGAAATCATTTACAAACCCCTTGTTGAAGATGACTCCCAGTAACTGGCCGGCGAAAGCGATGGCTACAAAAAGTAGCAGCGCCTTCCACATCCAAACTGGACCCAGGCGCCCACACAGATGCCATCGCAGCATTCTGCAAAGAGGAGACAAGGAGGCAAAGTCAGTCAAGAGAAGCTGCAGAAAGGAGTAGAGAAGCTTTGTCCTGACCAGAATGCAGTGGAATGAAGGAGGTAGACATATGCTAGCTCAGTGTTTGCAGCAGAAGTCTGGTAGACATGTCTCCTCAGGCCGTTTCCATTCTCCACTTCAGTCCTGAACACCTGCTTTGTCTCTGTCACACAGCAGATCTTTGTCCAGCCCAAAAAGGACCAACAAGAGCCCTGACACAACCAAGAGCCGCCCACAGCTCCTCCACCCCCCATCTCTCTGAGAGCACCTCCACATGGCAGCAGCCTGCTCCAGGTTCTGGATGTCTGTGTGTGAGGCCTGAGCAGAGCCCCCCGTGTCTTTATCACACACACACACACACACACACACACACACACTCAGCTCTCACTGCTCTGCCTTCAGGCATTTTCCAGAAAGGGCCAGGTCCCAACAAACACCACCTCCAGGCCCTCTCCTACCTGAGCCCAGCCCCAGCTCTTATCTGTGAGGCATCTGTGAGAGAAAAAAACTGCACTGGAACAGGAAGAGACCTCCATGAGAGCCAGACTCAGGGGGGAGCCAGTAAAGGCGTGTTACATCTGTGGCTTCAATGGATGCACTCCTGTGTGTAGGAAAAACATTACACACTATAATGTCATGCAGAACACATGCAGGTCAAAGAAGACTGAGCTGACCAGTAACCTGCTTTCAGGTCAGCATTACCCTGTCCCCTTTGTTTTTACCAGGCTATTAGCAGCTTACTATCTAGTATTATCATGCTATTACCTTACAGCTAGATAGATAGATAGATAGATAGATAGATAGATAGATAGATAGATAGATAGATAGATAGATAGATAGATAGATAGATAGATAGATAGATAGATAGATAGATAGATAGATAGATAGATGGAGGCTGCTGCTGAAGCTGCTCTTCAGCCTGTCCAGAGTTTTGTGGAGGGGGGGGGAAGGATTGTCCATGATGGACAACAGCATCCTGTCCTCCAACACCTCCTCCAGGGAGACAAGCTTAACAGACTCTGCTTTATCAATGGGTTTTTTCAGTCTGTGGGCGTCCTTTACCTTGATGCCCAACTTTTTGGACCCAGAAAAGCTATCACAAAACATACTCAATGGAATTCAATCTAAAAAAAAAGGGAAAATCCAGCAAGACAGGATATGGAAGCTCTTGAGATACACCTACTTTCAAGAGATTGGGCTGTTAATGCTCCCCCAGATAACCCCTAGCTGTCAGGAGCTCCAACCTCTGGCCACGCACACACACACTGGTGTGTTTTCTTTCAGGTCTCACAAATCCTTCTGTACAGAGTTAGAGACCGACAACCAGCATTATCTGATGGGGCTTTTGCAGCAGGACCTCCTCAGCCCTACTGGCTTTGACACGGATCAGCTCGGGTCGGACATGACAGGCCACGCCCTGCTGTCCACACACACACAACAACAACAACACAACAGCTGGACTCTACAGTACATATGAGGCAGACGTGAGGCAGCTGGGTGCTGGGGGCACCCAGTGTAACCCTAACCCTAACCCTAACCCTGCGTACCTTACACTGAGAAGGAACATCAATCCAGCCACACTTTTTCTGCACCCCTTACTCCCAGTGAGGTCCCCGGGGGGGCTGGAGCCCACCACCCACAGGCGAGAGGCGGGGTACACCCTGGACAGGTCAGGGTTAGGGTTAGAGTCAGGGTTAGGGTTAGGGACAGGGTTAGGGACAGGGTTAGAGTCTGGGTTAGGGTTAAAGTCAGGGTCAGGTTTAGGGCCAGGGGTTAGGGTTAGGGCCAGGGACACTTGCAGGTCCCTGTTTTATGCTAAAAGTGTTTTCAAATGTTGTTGTTTAAGACCATCAATAAAAGATTAAAACAAGCATTAAAACTGCTGTTTTTGTGCGATAAAGGCAGGTCAAAGCCAGGCCAAACCTGCTGAACCCTGTCTTTAGGCGCTCCGGCCCCCCCTCAGGCGCTGGGTTAGGGTTAGGGTGCTGGTGAGGACTGCTGAGCTTCTCCTTTGATACTTTCCAGGTGGTGGGAACTAGTTTAGGTTCCTCCGTTTCCTGTTCCTTCTCTGTGTTGGGGTGTTCTTTTCCCACGGGTCCTTTCTTTTAGGTTTTTTCTCCCTTCCCACTTTTCTCTTTCTGTTCTTTATCCTTAATTCATTCCTTTCTTTTTCTTCCTTTTCCTTTTATCCCTTGTTCCTTCGCTTTCTCCTTTACGTTCGTCCTTTTTCCTTTTCGATCCATCCTATGTTTCCTAGTCCTTTACAGTTCCGAGAGTCCTCAGTGCCCGTCCTTGAATCTGAGAGGGGGGCGGTGGGATTTTAGGGAGTGGTTGTCGGATGGAGGTTAGGGTTAGGGTTAGAGTTAAGGTTACGGTCAGGGACAGGGTTAGAGTTAGGGTTAGGGTTAGGGTTAGGGTCAGGGTCAGGGTTAGGGTTAGGGTCAGGGTTAGAGTTAGGGTTAGGGTCAGGGTTAAGGTTTGGGTCAGGGTTAGGGTTAGGGTCAGGGTTAGGGTTAGGGTCAGGGTGGGAGGAGGTGGGAGTACCCAGAGAGAACCCCCACAGACACAGGGAGAACCTGAGAGAGGCCTGGTCCCCTGTGGACCTGGTCCCCGGTGGACCTGGACCCCAGTGGACCTGGTCCCCGGTGGACCTGGGCCCCGGTGGACCTGGACCCCGGTGGACCTGGGCCCCGGTGGACCTGGACCCCGGTGGACCTGGACCGGAGCCTGTGGTGTGAGGAGACGGTGCTAGCCTCTTCAGTTCTCATTCATAATAAATCACAAGTTGCGTAACGGTAACAAATCCACAGCAGAAACTCATGAGGGGGGGGCAGGATGGTAATGTGAACTCACACACCGGTAACTCACACAGCACGTCTTCCCTCCGCCTTCATTCGCTTTGTTTACGGACTCTCTCTGTGTCTAACTCCAGCCCCCGGCTCCTCTGGGGGGGCAGCTCCTGCCCCCTCAGCAGCAGGGCTCCCTGCACAATGAGGCCCTGTCTGGGCTGGGGGGGGGGGGCGCCCTTGGCCCCCCCCCCCCCCCACACACACACACACAGCCTGAGCTCCCCGGGCTGTACCTGTCACCACGCTGCCTCTCGTCAGACCTGCTCAACCACAGCAGCCATGATGAGCGGGGGCCAATCCCGAGGCAGCCTGCAGCCCCCGCACCCCCACCCGCACCCCCACCCAAACCCAGACCCAGACCCAGACCCACACCCCCACCCAGACCCCCACCCACAGGCAGCCAGAGCAGGAGTGGCTGCAGCAGGCCAGGAGAAGGAGGAGGAGGAGGACAAGGAGGGGGAGGGGGAGTGTGGGGGGGGAGGAGGGGGAGAAGGAGGCCTTTGCGTGTACAGGACCCTTCCTTTCCTCCCTCCTTCCCTCCTTCCTCCCTCCCTCCCTCCTCCTCCCCCCCCCCCCCCCCCCCCCCCAGCACAATCAGAGCGGCTGGCTAGCGTTACCTGGCTCTCCGTCTGCAGACCATCGCGGCGTCCCCAGCGGCGCGCGGCCGGGAGCATCTCCAGGAGGCGGGCAGCGGCTGACCCCGCGCCTCCAGCGGCCATGGACCCCCCCGCGGCCCAACCCAACCCAGATAACCCGCACCTCCCGGACCGTGCTCCTCCTCCTGCCGGAGCGTGCTTGTGCTGCTGGGAGCTCCGGACGGGGATCTGCGGCGGCCGACGCTCCTTCTGCCGGAGAACAGCAGGGGGGGGGGGGGGGGGGGGGAGGGCGCCACTTCCGGGCGCTGTCAGAATAAGAGCCCGGCCCTGTTCACGGCCCACAGGCAGCGGTGAGCGCGGGCTGTTAGGAGTCAGGCCACATCAACACCGACCCAAACGCCCCCCCATCCCCGAGCTGAATCCCCTGAAGCCCACCCGCACATCATTCCAAACATCAGCCGGTAGCTCGGTCTGTCCCTGCTGGGGGGGCGGACCTCCCCAGGACGATTGGCTACAGGTGGAGTCAGCGGTGGTGGTGAGCCAATCAGAGGCGGGCTTCGATACGCACACACACACACACACACACACACACACACACACACACA